TATATTTTATAAGTTAAAAAATATTTATATTTTTTAACATAACAAAAATATAAATTTAAATATATTTGATATATATAAATTCAAATATATTTGAATTTATATTATTATGTTTTCTGTATTTAAAATATTTTTAATTAAATAAAACATATATTTACAAAAAAAATATTTAATTTTATTATAATTATATTGGTTGATGAAAAATACATTTGTAGAGGTTAATAGAAATTTAAAACGTAAAATAAAAATAAAATAAAAATAATATCAACTACTATTATTTTTTGGGCTAAACTGATTGTTGAATATAGAATCGGTCAAATGGTTGGATTCCATTGAATAAGCTGGTTTCCAATGAACCAGTCAGAATTGGTTGATCGGACTGATCAATTGTGTGTGTGTGTGTGTGTATTTAAATAAGTTAATAAATATTTATATATTTTTTAATCTAACAAAAATATAAACTTATATTATATTTCATACATACAAATTCAAATAATTTAAATTTATATTATTATTAATGTATTAAAAACTTTAACTGCAATACAATGCTTTCTATATTTTAAATATTTTAATTAAATATTGAATATATTTAGAAAATTATTATTTAATTTTATTATAATTGTAGTGGTTGATAAAATATAACTGTAGAGTTTAATAAAATTTTAGAAAATAAAAATAAAAATGAAAATAATATCAACTACTACAAATTTGGTCCCGTCAGATTGGGACGGTCCAATTTTAGTCCCATGGTTGTAATTTTAGTCCTAAGGGTTAACGGTGACTTCACGGTTGTTAATTTTTGGGACCAAATGCGGAACAAAAATTATTTAAGGACTGAATTTGAGACCAAATGCGGAACAAATATTAGTTAATGACTGAAAATGTGCCTCTTGAGACTAAAAATAAAACCGTCCCAATCAAAGGGGACAAAATATGCAATTTCCTCGGCCACAATATATATACCCAAGGGTGTGCTTGATATAAAAACCCCCCATACAATTTATTAATTTAAAATATAACTTAAATTTTAACTTAGTTCCACTATAGTTAATATTGTCAATATAATAAAATAATATCATTTTCCCTCACATAATTTTAAATATACATCATTTTCAAAAAAATTTATCACATTTTTACATCAAATAAAATTTAATCATTTTATTTTAAATATTATTTTAATACAAAATTTCGACAAAATTTTCGTGGTGAGAAGAGAATAATAAAGAATTGTAAAATATCTTGCAATGAAATTACCTAAACGAAAATGCTTATGAAAAATATGAAATTTGAAATTATTAAAGAAAATAAAACTATGGTAATAAATTATTTATAAGAAAAGAGATAAAAGGATTAATTATGGATGTTAAAGATAATTTATTCTTTTTTTTTCAATACAAAAATAATTTCTATCACATCAATTTTAAATCGGTGTTGTTTATAAAGACATGATTTTATTTTTTAAAATTAAATGTTTTTTTTAAAAAAAGGTTACCGAATGTTTTTCCTGTAACATTAAGAGTGAAAATACAAAATCATGACAATAAATTATTAATAATGAAAAAAAAATAGCAGTAATACTGAATATAGTTAGATAATGTAAAATAAAAATTATAGAACTGAATTTTGAAATCCACGAAATACGTATGCCCTAGTACAGTCTGTAATCTGTATAGAGAGATGTATACAGAGAGCGTGTGCATAATTTTACTTCTTGGAGAATAGGGTTCCCCGTAGTATATAGTCGGTAAAATTATATAAAACCTACACGCTCTTCACCCTATTATATACTTGATCGTTACTCAAACCAAAAGCGCACACATATATATATAGAGTTCAAAAGAGAGCCTTGAGAGAAATACAAAAATTCACCACAAAGAGTAAGAATCACGCAGAGAGAGAGAGAGAGAGAGAGAGAGAGAGAGAGAGAGAGAGAGAGAGAGAGAGAGAGAATGGGTTGGGTTAGAGGAGAAACCCTCGGTAAGGGTGGTTTTGGGTTCGTCTCCATGGCCAAAACCATGCAAGATAATAATCTGCCGCCGTTGATTGCCGTGAAATCCGCCAAATTTTCCGAATCCGAATCACTGAAGAAGGAGAAGGAGCTGCTCGACAAATTCCAATCATGCCCCTCTATCCTCCGCTGCTTTGGTGACGAAATCACGACCGAAAAAGGGGAGAAACTCTACAACATATTGCTCGAGTATGCCTCAGGTGGATGCCTCGTCGATCACATCATCATCAAGGGCCTTCCGGAAATCACCGTCAGCCGCTGCACGAAATCCATACTCACGGCGCTCATTCACATCCACAAGGCCGGCTACGTTCACTGCGACGTGAAGCCTCACAACGTGTTGCTCGTCGGCCAAGACGCGAAGCTCGCGGATCTAGGGAGCTGCTGCAAGACGAGCTTCGACGGAAATAGTAGTTGTGATGATTTCAGGGGCACTGTTATGTATGCGGCCCCGGAGTCGATAGCCCAACAGAAGTACTTGCCGGAGTCAGATGTTTGGGCCTTGGGCTGCTCGGTTCTACACATGCTGACTGGAAAATCACCGTGGGCTTTCGACAGCAAGGCCCAGCCGAAGGCTGTTCTCTTCAAGATCGGGTGCAGTGACCAGATTCCCCAGATTCCAACAAACAACA